AGAAACCCCCCTGGCGGCAAGTCCAGCCTGGTCCTGGGCTAGCGCGCCTGTCGGACGCGTCGTTTTGTTTGTCTGTCTGTTTCCTCCATGCTTGTGAACTGCACAACTTGAGCCTGACTGTACATCTTTTGGATTTGTTTCATTAAAGAAGAAGCACTTTATGTACTGCTGTCTTTCTTTCCCCTTTTTCTTTTTGAAGAGCAGGTTCTTCATCTGTCCTCCTCCGGGTCTGTAGGCCATGGCATGAGTGCTCCTAGTAGTAGATTGGCGGGAAAGCCTTGTGAACCTCGTCCCGTGTTTTTAAGAACAAATAATTTGGTTCCAAATGTATTGGAGGATCTTTTGTACTGAGGTTTTTAAAACCCTTTTCTGTCAGCTTTACTTGGGTTTACCAAGCCTTGATTGGACAGGCCAGTAAACAGTCCACAGGCACTGTCCCTACAGCCCCCACTCCCACCCCCGCCGGGCTATCTTTATGCCGAACCTTCTGGGTGTCGCCCGAACTTGTCCTTGTCCGTGCCCTTTGCTAAAAGCATCTTCCTGTGCCGTATGGAACCACAGAGAGGCCTGTGCCTCATGCCTTGCTGCCCTCAGAGCAAAGACACTGCCTTTTCTTTTTGAACCTTAAGCAAGAAGCCAGGCACTCACTGGGCTGGCCCAGGAGCAAAGCCTCCTGCTGTCCCGCAGGGGACGCTCCATGTCCACTCCAGCTGCCCGATTCCAAGTGTCCGTGAAGCAAGCAAGGGCGTGAGCTCGCAGCGGCGGTCCTCGGGTCCTCGTCCCGCGTGGACCCCTCGGGCAGTGCTCTGACAGCCAGAAGCTGTGTGCATGATGCTGGTGTTGACCATGAAACGAAGTCTCATCCTTAAAAACTGTGTTGTACTTCACAATCCTGGACTGTTGCTTCAAGTAAACAAATGTACCGATTTTGAACTGTTGTGTCCTGTGTCATCTTTTTGAGAGGGTTTCGGTGTTCTGCCTGCCTAGTTGCTTTTTTCTTGTTACTACAAATCCTCCGCTCAGTGATTGGTCACTCAGTGAAAACGACCTGTGAAGGCCGAGGCAAGCGGGCTTCCCTCTGAAGACAGTTCTCTAAAGTAGCCGGTTTCCATTCATAGCATGAGCCCAAAATGATCATGACCTCTGATGTCTGCGGCAATAAAATTCAGGGATAATGAGATGAACTGATATCTAAAATAATTATTAGCCAATATGGTGTATGTCTGACTCTTCTACTACCTACCCTTTGTGCTGGGTGTAACGGACTGTACACCCAGCACAGAGTCCAACCTGCAAGGTGCTTTGCAATGGTGGGCGGTCAAAGAGAGAAGAGCTCCAAAGGAAGGATGGGTCCACATTAATTAGAAGGTGACAGGGGTGGTGGTGGGGTCTGGGGAGTCAGTCCCCTTGAGGGATACGGAGACCACTGGGTTCTAGGGAGAAAGCTCCAGGCCCACATGCTGTATCGAACGTCTAAATTGGGCATCATTAGACCTGGCTTTTAGGCCCCCGGGTGTCACTGACAAGCTGTGTTCTGTCGGCTTGTCATTCGGGGCTCCATTTCCTAACTTAAAAGTGACACTTTTTGCTCTGGCCAGTTTTGCTCAGTGGGTAGAGCGTTGGCCTGCGGACTGAGGGGTCCCAATTCTGGTCAAGGGCATGTACCGCAGTTGCAGGCTCCTCCCCGGCCCTGGTTGGGGCGCATGCCAATTGATGTGTCTCTCCCCCTCCCTTCCACTCTCTAAATATCAATGGAAGGTATCCTTGGGTGAGGATTAACAACAAAACAATAAATAAAACTATTTAAAAATGTTTAAAAATAAGTGACACTTTTGATGAACTAGGTCACCTCTAAACCCCTCCCATGATCGAGATGACTCGAGTATAGTGTAACCACAGACTCATTTGAAGGATCAGGCATCTCTGGGAGCAACAGGAGTGTTTACAGGTTGTGGGGTGTTACGTTTCTCTTACAGTGTAAAGCACACGAGCCTGAGTTACGGTTTCTCTCATGACTTCGGAGATAGGGAACCAGCACCCTTCTCTCAGTGAACGTGGGGCTCCCAAAAAGATATGTCCCTGATTTGTGTCACCACTTATGATATGGAGATTTATCTCCATAATCTACAGAGATAAATGCCTCATCAAAATTAAGGTGTTCTGAGGGAAGGACAGTTCTGCCTGTCATTTTGCTACTATCAAAATTACTTGGAATTTCCTTAAATTTACTTGGAATTTCCTAAAATTCCATGTAAACATGTTTGCTAAGGTGTTAAAGGTTCCAGTTAGAAAGTTTAGGGTCTAGAAAGTGAAATTGAATCGATAGATCCTCCCTTCCCCCAACTGGTGGTCGGAGTATGATGTAACCTGCAGCCCGGAAATACCTGAGTGATTAACCATGTACCTTATATGGACCATACATTGGACCACCAATCCACACCTGCCAAATACCCTAAGCCAGTGATGGCGAATCTTTTGAGCTCAGCGTGTCAGCATTTAGAAAAACCCCCAACTTAACTCTGGTGCCTGTCACATATAGAAAATTTTTGGTATTTGCAACCATAGTAAAACAAAGATTTATATTTTTGATATTTATTTTATATATTTAAATGCCATTTAACAAAGAAAAATCAACCAAAAAAATGAGTTCGCGTGTCACCTCTGACACGCGTGTCATAGGTTCGCCATCACTGCCTAAGCTCTTGTCCTATATGGACAATGCAGTAAGACACCAATCAGTGTGCGCGGAGTACACTAAGCCCCCGCCCCTTCCCATTCCGCCCCTCAAAAGGCTGCCACCCCTGCACGTGCTGCTGTCCTCCCCTTGCGAGGCAGCCGGGCAGGTCCTTCTCCTAAATAAAGCCTGTAGTCCTGGTTTTCGGCCTCTGTCTGATTTTTCAGAGTGATCTTAAAATGACTAGAATGGACAGTCTGGACTTTTTACCTAGTTTGTAAACTTCCGTGGCTTAGTGAAGGAGGGGGAAATAGGTTCTCAGTGTGTATTGCTGGTGCAGTAACTGCTTCCTCTTTTCTTAAGCGTGTTTGTAAGTCATCTTAGAATGAATGGGACGCCAGGCTCCCTTTGTACTGCGTCTGTTGCAGCGGCTTGGAAGTATTGGGGTGCCCAGATGGGGACCGATACTTGGGTGTAGTCAGGAAACGGAATGAAATCTACAAAAGGGGGCGTTATTTCAGCATTTTTAGAGGGAATATCATGCCGATTCTCCAGGCGTCAGTCCGACTCCCTGAGCTGGACGGAAGCTCTTCCCGGCGGGACGGCGTGTTTTAAGTAGCAGCTCCGGTTTCCAAGCAGCAGGTTTGCGAATTCCTTTCTTAGGAGCTGGACTCACTCAGCGCTTTCGCTGATTCAGCTACGGGAGCCCGAGATCCCGGCCTCGGGCCAGTGCAGCCTTCGCAGGAGCC